CTTTTGTTTTCAGACATACTTTGATTTGCCATTTGATTTCTTATTTGGCCCATTGCTTGTGCAGTAGTGTGTTGTTTAATACTGACATATTAAATATTTAATATTTACATTGTAGATCTTAAAGATTTGTTTTATTGTTGATCTTTAGTTTTGTACCATCGTCATTGAGAAGATACTTGGTATGTATAATTTCAGTCTTCTTAAATTTATAATATTTGTTATGTCTCTTTTTATGTGATTTAACCAAGGAATTATTCTTTGTATACTTGAAGAAAATGTTTATTCTATTTTTCTTAGATGGAATATTTTTTATATGTCTTTTAGAACCATGTATTCTGAGGTATGTGTTAAGTAAAAAAATGTTCTTATTGAAGAAAATAATAAAAAAGTGTATTTTCCATCTTATCAAAAAAATTTAAAAATTGAAAAATAAAACTATTCATGCTTTGTCACACTTTTTCACTGTTACAATGCAGGACTAAAACAGTAATAATTAACATTTGAGGACATTTACTCTATACTGGCTATACTTAACATTTTTCTGATAAGACAACCAAGGATTTTATCAAATAAAATCTATAGGTCTATTCCTTATCATTTCTTCTCTCAAAATCAATCTCTTTTTCAGAGTTTTAACAGCTATCCAATTCTACTTCTCTCTACCTTTAAATACTTGTCTTTAAACTCTCTGGATTTATCTTGGTCTATAACATTAAGCATCATATGGATATTTTTTCCCAAAACTGTTAGTTTTCTTTCAAATCACCTCTGACAACAGTGCACAGATAGGACCAGAATAAATGCAAGGACATGATGGTGATAAGAAAAACAAGAAAGGAAGATCATGCAGTTGTACTCATAATAGGTCTAAAGAAGGGAACAGAATACAACAAAATGAGTGTAAACCTGTAGAAATTTATAGGCTGGGCACCTGGGTGGCTCAGTTGGTTAAGCGACTGCCTTCAGCTCAGGTCATGATCCTGGAGTCCCAGGATCGAGTCCTGTGTCGGGCTCCTTGCTCAGCGGGGAGTCTGCTTTTCTCTCTGACCCTCTCCCCTCTCATGCTCTCTCTCACTCTCTCTCTCTCAAATAAAAAAATAGAAATGTATAGGCTGTAGAAACTTATCTACATACCTGATATAAATTCTGCTCCTAATTACCATACTTCTATTACTTGGCATTAATATTCCCCTACTACTTATTGAAGCAGTGTGATTAGAAAATCAGTGTACTTTTAAAAGTCACAAGATAGCTCTCCTGATGAACTAGTTTTCCCAAACCAATTGTAAGTTCTTTAGAAACATCATCTGTGCTTCTGCTTCTTTTTAAATTCTCTTATGGTCCAGAACTAAATACATGGCTAGCTATTGAGCATTCAGTGAATATTGTTTAATAAGTGTAATGCAACATCTTTGACTCCTTCCATAAAAATTTCTGAAACCTACAATGTGGCAGACACTACTACAGATGCTAAGTTGTCAGTAGCCACAAAACAGGAGCAGTCTCTGCCCTCACGGAATCTACATTCTTGTGGGGAGACTGTATTTCTCCAATAAACTGTAATTACTAATTATAAGTACTCTAACAGGAAAATACAAGATAGAGTGGAGGAGGTGTCAAAGGAAGCTTCCTTGAAGAAATGACATCTGAAATGAGATCCAAAGCACAAGTAAGACATGACAGGTGAAGGGAGAGACGGAATGGATGAGCTGACAAAGGGAAGAGTTTATACAAAAGCCTTGATGTACTCTACAAGCACATGTTTATAATAATCATCAGAATGCCTCCAAAAAAAAAGTCAGGAAAAAACAACAAGAATGTGTGGGAAAGAATAATGATAGAACTCCATCATAAGATCAAAGAAATGAGTTGAAAAGGAGAGTTTAATTTATTACCTCTTGTTTAACCAAAAGATACTAAGTAACTGCGTTATCTGAGTTCCCACTCTCAAGACGCTGCCCCAGCCCGAGCCTGTCTTTGGTGGCTTAAGCCTCTCTGGAATCATAGGCTACCTGTAATGCTGCCCAATGATTAGCATACCTTACTTTGCACAAGATGCCTACTAGCAACGTGGCTGTGATAATGCAATGTCCTAGGCTCAGCAACAAAGAGTATGTGTTTTGACAGAGTTGTGGAAACATTTTTTTTTAAAAAAAAGACCCTTTCCCATATTTTCTCAACCCTTTGCCCATTCAGCACTTCCTCTGTCACCATGACAATACATATCCAAAACAAACAGGGAAAGTATTTTTGCTTTTTACACAGGAAATAGGGGTCATTGAGCTAAAAAAAGTTGCCTTCACCCCACATGAAGGATTCTTATCTCCAGAGGTGATGCTCAGATCCCTGTCACTGTCTTATAGGCTCTGGACATGGTATGACTCATGGCACCTATTCAGGAAATCCGAAAAACTCTCAGATGGATTCCGGAGCTCCTAAGAAGTTGGTATCCTTAGATTCCAAGTATTCTCCCCAATGCCCAATATCAATCAACAAAAGAATGTAAATTATCTAACTTTATATACTTATCACCAAGTGGCTCTCTTCATAGATGAGAAAATAGAGGATATTAGAAAGAACTTACAGCACTGACGAGGGAGGAAAATGGAGAAGAAAAAAAAAAAAGGCCATGGAGGGTTGAAGCCATGTCTCTGGTCCATTCAAATATTTTCAGACCTACCCTCAACAGTGTTTAAGGTAAGGGTTGGTTATTTTCATTGTTCCTTTGGTTTGTCAAAATCCAAAATTAAATGATCTTTCAAAGTTTCTAATGTATGTAACACTCAGGTTGCATCCCTTGTGAAAATCATGGTGACTTTCCCATGCCCTTTTCTCAGCTGTAATGAAAGCTTTGTTTTCAATGGAAATATGGATGGAAATCCCTTCCCACAGAGGCAGTGTACCATCAGGCAGATGCACTCTCATTGGAGTGGCATCTTCAGGCCCCAGCGGGGTGTTCAGTGTCAGAGGCTCCAGGCTTGATCAACATCCTACACATTTTCTTGACAGACATCTTTGGCACCTCAGCTAGTAAACAACAGCACCAATGCCCATCATTACTTCCTCATCTCTCCTGCCAACCTATAAGAAAGAGGCTTCTTTGGCCTTAAAAAATATGTAAACATAGTTTCCCTGTTTTAATTTCTTGTTGTTCTAAAAAAGATCCTAAAGAGACTACATTCAAGTTTCGATAAACATTGTGTAGAAAACATCCATAAAAAAATTTGAAATCCATTAAGAAGGAAATAGTGTTGTTTCAGATTTACAAATTGCTCTGATGATCACTGAAGAGAATTGGTGCCTGCCCCTCTCCAGGCTGGGAAGCAGCCTTAGCAGAACGCCACTGTCTCTACCTCCAAGACACTCAGGGATCTCAGGTCAAGATTATCACCTAGAGAAGGACCTATCAGAATTATTTTGAAGGAAATTTTCCAAACCACCCATATGCTCCCCCAGATGATCCAGCTATAGTCCTCTCCCTAGTTAAAAACCACAGAGGTAGACAGGGTGGCTTAGTAGTAATAGCCAACATGGTCTGAATAACAACTGATGCCACTCACTGTGTGATATCAGACAAGTTAGCAGCCTCTCTTTACCTCACTTCCTCATCTGGATTATGGGGTTATCATGAGATTAAATGATATATGCACTGTGCCTGGTACGTCAGGACATATTTGTGTCCACCTAGTTGTTCACATTCCCATGAGAGAACAGTCTCATTATCCCTGGTTTAGAGATGAAAAAAAAAACGAGACCCAGACAGGTTAGGTGACCGACCCTGTTCAGAACCCATGAGAACCCATCCCCTTCGCTGTGCGTTCTTTCAGTACCTCTATGCCACAGCACACTGCCTCGGCCCCTTCCTCACTTCACTCTTCCCTCTTCTGTTGGTGGCTGTTGTTGTTTGTTTCCTACCTGCATTCAACAGGTACCAATAATCTATTTCCTAAAATAAACTAAAAAACATGTGCATTACTTGAAGGAAAAATCCATGTAAAGCCAAAAGCAAGGCTTCACTTATGCCTGATAGATAATGAATATTATAATTCTGTTATTACTAATATTGTCATTAAGGACTCAGGGGACTGAGGGTACAGAGAGTTAAAGGAAATAAATCAGCAATGAATGTAACAAGTGTTGTTTTGCCTGTCAACTATTAATAAGGTATATGGAAATCCATCCTAATAAAGTTGTTTCCCTTGAGTAGATTATTGATGTGATCCAAATATTGAAAATCAATGTTACATATGTCCATACTTTCAAAATATTTGATTCGCTAGCTTATTAGCACATTTAGTACAAGATGTTTGGCAGAATGATTGATCACTTGCAAATCACATGAATATATAAAATTATAGTAAAAAAATAAGCCTTTTGACTGACTGATAAATTCCTTTTGTGGGGGTTCTTAAAATATTCTTGTTATGGGGCACCTGGGTAGCCCAGTAAGTTAAGCATCTGCTTTTGGCTCAGGCCATGATCTGAGGGTCCTGGGATCGAGCCCTGAATTTGGCTCCCTGCTCAGCAGGGAGTCTGCTTCTCCCTCTCCCTCTGCCCTTTGCCTCCCTGTTCTCTCTCTCTTTCTCTCAAATAAATAAATAAAATCTTAAAAAAAAAAATTCCTGTGGTAGTCTCTAAGAAAATCCCTATAGTAAAACAATTATCTGGTTTTGACATATAAATATCCTTTTGTTCTACAAAGAACTTCAAGAATAAGGCTGTGGTATCAGAGAAGGAGCAGAGAAAATTTCAGGGACAGAGGATTTCATGGACGAGGTCCACATGTCACTGAGGCACCCAGAAAATACCTGGAAGCTCAGTCACTGGCTCTCTCAATCCAATTCCTTGCTGGACATGTTATGTAGAAGAGGCACCATCTCCAAGGAAGTATTCTCCCTGAGGCCTCTTGAGCATGTCCAATTAACCAGAGTACAGAGAAAATGGGGAAATGCTTAAAAGAATAAAACCTGGGGCACGTCCGGGGTTGGCGTGTCCCAGTGGAGGCGGGGACAGAGGGTCTCGCAGATGGCCCCGCTCCCAGGGGCAGAGCGGGTCCAGAGGCCGCTGCAGCTCTACCGATACCTGCTGCGCTGTTGCCGGCAGCTGCCAGCCAAGGGCATCCAGGAGCATTACAAACATGCTGTCAGGCAGAGTTTCCGGGTTCATTCAGATGAAGACAATCCTGAGAGAATCCAGCAGATTATTAAAAGAGCCATTGAAGATGCAGACTGGATCATGAACAAATATAAGAAACAAAACTGAGATGCTGGAGCCTAGAGAACCAAGCTGTCCTGAAGATATTGAAGTTGAGAGACCTCGCTTCTTCTGGAAGTCAGCAGCGGCAGCCGTTTTGGAATATCCATCGGCCTTATTGGCTGAGAGCAGGAAATCGGGGGTAGGAGAAGCTGACGTCTGCTCAGCTGGCTCTTCTTGCCACGTGTGTGTCCCAGCATCCTTTATGTTTGCTTTTCTGGCCATTGCCACGGGAGTTTGGGGGAGAATATATTTTGTCACTTTGCTCCGAAGGTGCTGCATGTATTCTGGATGTTGTCCTTTGAGACCCAGAGTGGGGATCCCCTCGGGCTGTCCAGGGAGGACAGGGCATGGGTTTTTGAACCGGTCAGGTCTGGATTTGAATCTCAGTTCTGCGGCTTTTCAAGGGTGTTGCTTTTGAGCTCAGCCTCCTCCTGTGTGAAGATTAAGTATAAGGAAGTTGAAGAGCTTCAGGTAGGACATGGTATGTGGTGGTGTGAGTAAACGTTCTCCTGAGGAGCCCATCCTCCACCGCTCCTTCCTACCCGCCCGCAGTGCTCCACGTCTCTCTGGTACACTCCTCGTCGGGCCCGGGGGATTTGTGGGCCTACCCTGTCCTGCTTGTTGTCCCTGAACGCTCGTGGCCCCACCGTGCCCAGCAGTCCCCCAAGCACCGCTCCTCCCGGCACTGTCCTTCCGTGAAGTCCTGGTCCTCGCCTTCACGGAGTTTCTAGTGTCCCTGAAGTGGTGAAACGCACGCCGCGTGGAACAAGGAAGAAGGGCAGACCAGCTACAGCGGATGCCGAAGTGTACAGGCCTCTGTGAACCTGCGATCTGTCCTGCTGTCCCTTCCCCGCTTTGCCACTATCTTGGAAGGAAGAATGGAGGCAGGGCGGCAAGGAGGGAGGCGGGGAGCAAGCATTCCTGTGGGGTATGGTGAGCCTGAAACCCGTGGAGAGAGACTGGGTCACATCCCAATGCCATAGAAGTCGCTCGTAGGGGAACTTACCTGGCCCATGTCAGCCTTGGTTTCCCCAACTCCAGCGCAGTGATGCCCCCACCTACCTGCCGGGCTGCAATGAGGAGTACTGAGCTCTAACGCGTGCCAGGTGCTTCCTGCAGAAGCTGGCTCAGGGAGCCAGCTGCACTGCCGTGGCTGGTCACCACAGTTAGGGAGCCCTGCTTTGCAGACGGGGAGATGGAAGCACAGACAGGTCGAACCCCTTTTCAAGGTCACCAAGCTGCTAAGCAAGGTCTGTGTGAATCTACCAAACAGTACAGGGAAGGGAGAGCAGCAGAGGGAGGGAAAGCGTCCAGGAAGGACTCGGGGGGCTGGCCAGAGCAGGAGGGGCAGCCAGAAGCGGAGAAGCCACACTGGACTTGTGTATCCCCAAGGACTCCCAGCCAGAGGGATGAGCCAGCAGCTTCATGACCCTGCAATGAATTATAGGACTTAAAGTGACTCCGGGACATCTGTATGGACTGATCAGCAGGGAATGAAGTAAATACCGATTTCTGAAAAGAAAAAAAAAAAAAAAAGAATAAAACCTGGGGCGCCTGGGTGGCTCAGTCTTTAAGCATCTGCCTTCGGCTCAAGTCATGATCCCAGGGTCCTGGGATGGAGCCCCTCATCGGGCTCCCTGCTCCGCAGGAAGCCTGCTTCTCCCTCTTTCACTCCCCCTGCTTGTGTTCCCTCTCTCGCTGTGTCTCTGTCAAATAAATAAATAAAATCTTAATAAAAAAAAAAGAATAAAACCTAATCCCCAAAAGCTATTGATTTCCCACTTTAAACAGCTCGAAGAATTATTGCCTATCAATATCATAGCAAGTGATATAATTAATTCTCAAGTGTTCCCCTTGCTCAGTATTCATCTCCTAATCAAACCAGTGGATGAAGGAAAGGCATTATTACAATGGGGCATGACCCACCTCTTCAGTCTCATCTCCTTGGACGATTACAGGCTTATTCCTAAATGTGCTAAGTATTAGGATAGAAACTACTTAAACAGTATGGACACAGAACATTGAGATCCAATATTTGAACCACATCAAAACCATATTCAAATAAAACTATGGCATAAAAATGGAATTCCATAGTCCCAATCAGTCTAACTAATTTTTTCATAATCTCATTCAAACTCTTCCCCACCTAAAATGCTCTCCTTAGGGCTCTCCCTGTATAGAAATCCTAAACCTTTCTTTACCTTCTGGAAACATTTCTTTTCCATTTAATGAATGCATTCATTTACTAAACAAGTTAACTTGAGTTTCTACTGTGTTTTGGAATGATCAGTTACTCCTATAGGCTCCAATTTATTATTGATTCCATTCAACAAACATTTAATTCACAACTATCATGGGTAGTCACTGCAGCAAATGTAGGAGGTACAAATATAAACTGTATGTCATAACTTCAAGGTTTTAAATTTTAAGAGGATCAAGTAAATTCTTAATTTTTAACTATATTGTAATGAGCTGAATTAACTTACAGAAAGATACATGGTTTCCATAGCACACTATGTAATTCACAGGTAAGGCACTAATTTGGCCCAAAGGGTTTGGGTCTAGGGACTCTTATTTAATTTATAGACTGCCTCACTTCGTGTTTACATAGTAACTTAAGCTACTAGTTATGATTTCATATATGGTTTCATATTTTCCAACTAGACTGAAAGTTTATTGTGGGCCAAAACATGCCATTAATTTCTATATGTTCCATTAAAGTATCCTGAATAATATTTCACACACAGAGACACACTCAATGTACCTTAAAATTATTGGCTAGTGTGTATATCTAGTAACCAGACAAAGTTTCTGGAATTTTTGAACCCAGAGTCACAAACTAATGTGACTTCAGACCAGTCTACAAGAGGGTTTTGCTTATTTTCATATTTTCTGCATAAAGTTTTTAATTTCTAAAGCCATGTCCATTAGTTCCGATTTGATATATTTCATATAAAAATCCGTATTTCTGCACTGCCCTGTAAAATCAGACAACCTGGTACAATTTATACAAATTCTTTCATGGCAGCAAATCTTATTCATTTATTGTCTAAGTCACCAGTCTCTACCCAGCCAACTTTACACATTTGCATTACCTATGTGGCCTCTATATACATGGAGCTTGCAACCTGTTTTAAGCATTAAGATCTAAATAAAAGATGTCATCCCCAAATTCCCATGTGCCCCTGGTTGGAGAGATAATTTGCACTCTGCAGAGCCTCCACCCTTTACCCTGAATTTGAAGGCAATAGGATGGGACTTTACCATTATTTATGGGAAAATCGGAAAAAGAAGGATAACCTCTAAAGACAGTTGGTGTGACCTGAAAAGAAATTGTTTCTTATTTTACCCTCCAACTGAGAACTAGTTCACCTATGCTAGGTTCTCAGAGAGAGAGAGAGAGTGAGAGAGAGAGAAAGCCTAATCTAGTAAGCAGCTCCTATCACATTAGATGCATGACCTTATCTTGGGGCTCAAATATTTAATAGAATTTGCTGAGTTTTCATATAGGGGATAAAACAAAGTACATTAATCTGGCCTCTTGTTATTAATAAAAAAGGGTATTAATAAACATTACCATCCTTTAATCCTCAAAGAACAATGTCATCCATTAAACTACAAGAGGAGGTTTCTCTCATAAAGTCATGGATATCTACTTAATTCATCATCATCAACCACAAAAATACTCATCTTGTTGGATAACTGAAAGGATAACAAACTGGCAGCTAAGAAATCTAAGAAGGCACTCATTTCTCTGAGCCTCAAGTTCTTAGATGCTACAGATATAAAGAAATATTTCCCTATCTTTCAAGAGTTTTATAGGGTAAAAGAGATTCATAGAGCAAGAGTATAGCATTAGAAGCTGGATATAGTCACGCCCAATGAAAGAATAGGCAAGAAGTACAGAATTTCTGGGAATAATAAAGAGAGGGTCCACAAAGGAAATGAAATTTGGGCTGGGCATTGAAATATGGTTATATATCAACTGGCACAAATAAGAGAAGAACCACAGGCAGGCCTTCCATCATGGAGATTCTTGTATGGATCTCTTCCTTGCTGTGACTGCCACCACAGAAAAGATAGCGCTTCTCATGAAAGTTCTGCTCTCTTTTTCACTCCCCCACATCCATTTCTCACAATGCTGATCCTTCTAAAAGATAAGTCCATCTGATTTACCTGTTTAAACCCTCAATGACTTTTACCTACAGGATATAGTGTGAACTCCCAAAAATGGCCCAAGAGCTTCTGGGATCAGATCCCTACAAAGTCCCAGCTGCATGACTTGCGCACCTCCCTGACTTATTCTCACACTCCAGCGATATACAAACACCAAAGTCCTCAAAGGGATCACACATATGTTTGCTGAATGAATTCAGCATAAATTCACTTGCTGAAGCTGCCTCTACCCTTTCACATTCCTCCTTTACCCTCTTCACCTGACTAATTTCCACTTTGCCTGGCTAACTTCTACTCATTCATTAAGGCTCAGGCTCACCCCCTCTTGCTTTCCAGACCCTTCATTTACTGTACTTGTAACTACTTGCTCAGTGTCTGTTTTCTCCACTAGATGGTAAAGACAGGGAATAAATCCATCCTATTCGCCTCTGTATCTCTAGCACCTATTAAAATGCCTAGCACATAGCTGTTTCTCAAGAAATATTTGTTTAATGAACGAATGAATGAGTTAGGAAATAGCAAAAGGAATAGTGGACAGCAGTTCACAGAGCACAAATGGTACTTGGCCTCAAATTTCAGGATAAACATGAGCTTCTGAATTGTTATTATCTAACTTTAAAGAGTACATTGACATAAGGCAACTATACTTATCTCCTTTGACAGTCCAAGATATAGAAGTCAGGCAGGATCAAATGCCAAACAATATCACCCAGCTTGCTCGCTCTCCCACAGTATTAGAGCTGCAGTGCTCGGGCATTTGAGTCAGAATGCCTTTAGTTTCAGACTTCACAATCAAGCCCAAGCATGTTGCTATGGAAAAACAAGATCCACTTTTGCTCCTACCATGTAAAACATGAATCTCTTGTTATGATATTTTTAGCTATAATGGAAAATCAGGCTTAGACAAATAATTCATAATTATGGCAAGGGCATTGGTGATGAGCTAAGAATTCAGTATTTTACATGCCAGTGCCTCTTTTATCCTATCATAAATCACTGTCAATTCTGCTTTTAAAGGAAAATGAGAGCACAATCCAGGTGATAGCCACTTACAGAGAGAATGCAGATGGCCTTAAATATTTTAGACTGGCTGGTTTAAAATCGTTTTGACTTTTGTTTGCTCCTTCCCTTGGTGGAATTGGAATATAGGCTTAAAATTCCCTTTAATGCCAAACAGCTGCTATTTTGCTTTGTTTCAGTTAAAATTGAATGTAGCTGCCCCAGATGCCCTACCCATGTGAGCGGTAGAATATGTCACTGAACATCACCACCAAGCCCTGGAAAATGGTGCTATGCATGCATATTAATGAGCCATGGGGTATTTGGAGAGGAGGAGGAGTAAGAAGAGGGATTCTGACATTTACTATACTACAGCACCAATGTAAAGCTATCAGCACATTAAATTCTCACTTCCATGACTTGGAGTAAAATATTCAGAGTTAAGATATCTTAGAAATCAGCTGGTCAGATCCCCTTTAATAATTAGAAAACCAGAGCCCAGAGAATGTTAGTGATTTGCCAAAATCACAATCTGCTTTGTGTCAAGGCCTCATCATTCTCCCCTGACAATGCACCCAGCCCTCAGCCTTACAAACGCGCTTTTTTAACATTCTGACTTTTACTCAGTTTTCACTACCTTAGCATGCAGTCAATACCCAGTGAACTCCCACTTAATCTCTCTCTCCCTTTCTATGCATTGTTTTTTTTTCCCCTCAGCTAGAAATACTACTTTGATCTGGGTAACTATTTTTTGTATTCTGAAAAACAGGCAGAAACAACCACAATGGTAATTTTCACTCATATGAATAATTTGGTCAGTTCCATACCAGGCACAAAGGGAAACAATTTCAATGATCTTGAAAAGAAATTTTAACATTATGAATAGTGTCAGCTGAGAAAACATGGTTATGAAATATCTTTTGTGCCTCTTTCTGCCTTTTCTCAATCTTGATTTTTTCATGAAACCCAGTAAGCATCTTATTACTGACAGAGGCATAGTATTTGGATAGATAAAAATCAGAGTCAGTCCTTAAGAAATTCCAGTCCATGGTAACAGAATATATGTAATAATTAGGGTAGGCTAGTTTTTATAACAAATAGCCCCCAAAGTGTATAATGACTCTAATAGAAGTATAATAGTTTATTTCTTACTTAATAGAACCAGACAATGAATAAAGAATGGAAGGGGAGCCTCTGACTTTCATTCACAATCCACTGGCTAAAATTCAGTCTCAGGGTCTAACCTAACTGGAAGGCAAGATGGGAAATGAAGCCCAGCTGAGTTTCCAGAAAAAAGAAACCATGCCACTTGTGTGATATAGAATCTATTTTGTCTCCTATGAT